TAGTGGCCTTTTGAAATATATCTATATATGTCATCTATATTTGTGATGAAAATTGTTGGATTTAATAAAAAACAGATAAAAGAGCCAATATGCAGGCTCTTTGCCGTCTGCCACCGACGGCAACGGGCTCTTTGCCGTCTGCCGCGGACGGTAAAGAAGGCACGTGGCATCCGGCTGTGCTTCCTGGGAGCTGACCCGTTTGGTCAGTTTGCCTACAGTGGCAGACGGCAAAGACTTTGCCATCAGTGGCAGACGGCAAAGAACCTGCCATGTAGTGACGTGTAGATGACATCATACGGCGGACGGCAAAGACACTAGAAAGTTTGCCGTCAGCGGCGGACGACAAAGGCCTGCCGTTAGCCACTTAACGGACTGACAGCGCAATTATTGCCGTCCGCCTTCTTTGCCGTTTGCCGCGCTCTCTTTGCCGTCTGCTGCGGACGGCAAAGAATTTGCCATCAGTAGCAGACGGCAAAGTAGCTGTTTACCGAAGCCTACTTTGCCGGAGCCTTTTGCCGTCCGCGGCTGACGGCAAAGGCCTTTGCCGTTCGCTGTTCATGCCTTTGCCGTCCGCCGTGGCAGACGACAAAGTAGCTGATTCCTGTAGTGAGCCTGTATTTACAAGAAAGTGAGTGGGAGGACTACAACATTTCTGATAAGTATATGTGAATGACATATTGTTGATTGGAGATAATGTAGAATTATTTTGCAAAGCATAAAGGAATGTTTGAAAGGAGTTTTTCAAAGAAAGACCTCGGTGAAACTGCTTACATATTAAGCATCAAGATCTATAGAGATAGATCAAGACGCTTGATAAGTTTTTCAATGAGTACATACCTTGACAAGATTTTGAAGTAGTTCAAAATGGAACAGTCAAAGAAAGAGTTCTTGCCTGTGTTACAAGGTGTGAAACTGAGTAAGACTCAAAGCCCGACCACGGCAGAAGATAGAAAGAGAATGAAAGTCATTCCCTATGCGTTGGCCATAGGTTCTATAAAATATGCTATGCTATGTATCAGATCTATTGTATACCCTACACTGTTTTTGGCAAGGGAGTACAATAGTGATCTAGGAGTAGATCACTAGACATTGGTCAAAATTATCCTTAGTGGAATAAGGATATGTTTCTCGATTATGGAGGTGACAAAAGGTTCGTCGTAAAGGGTTACGTCGATGCAAGTTTTGACACTGATCCAGATGACTCAAAATTTCAATCTGGATACATATTGAAAGTGGGAGCAATTAGCTAGAGTAGCTCCGTGCAGAGCATTGTTGACATAGAAATTTGCAAAATACTTACGGATCTGAATGTGGCAGACCCGTTGACTAAACTTCTCTCACAAGCAAAAAATGATCACGCCTTAGTACTCTTTGGGTGTTAATCACATAGCGATGTGAACTAGATTATTGACTCTAGTAAACCCTTTGGGTGTTGGTCACATGTCAATGTGAACTATGGGTGTTAATCACATGGTGATGTGAGCTATTGATATTAAATCACATGGCGATGTGAACTAGATTATTGACTCTAGTGCAAGTGGGAGACTGGAGGAAATATGCCCTAGAGGCAACAATAAAGTTATTATTTATTTCCTTATATCATGATAAATGTTTATTATTCATGCTAGAATTGTATTAACCGGAGACATAATACATGTGTGAATACATAGACAAACAGAGTGTCACTAGTATGCCTCTACTTGACTAGCTCATTGATCAAAGATGGTTAAGTTTCCTAACCATAGACATGAGTTGTCATTTGATTAACGGGATCACATCATTAGGAGAATGATGTGATTGACTTGACCCATTCCGTTATCTTAGCACTTGATCATTTAGTTTGTTGCTATTGCTTTCTTCATGACTTATACATGCTCCTATGACTATGAGATTATGCAACTCTTGTTTACCGGAGGAACACTTTGTGTGCCACCAAACGTCACAACGTAACTGGGTGATTATAAAGGTGCTCTACAGGTGTCTCCGAAGGTAATTGTTGGGTTGGCGTATTTCGAGATTACGATTTGTCACTCCAATTGTCGGAGAGGTATCTCTAGGCCCACTCGGTAATGCACATCACTATAAGCCTTGCAAGCATTGCAACTAATGAGTTAGTTGCGGGATGATGTATTACGGAACAAGTAAAGAGACTTGCCGGTAACGAGATTAAACTAGGTATTAAGATACCGACGATCGAATCTCGGGCAAGTAACATACCGATGACAAAGGGAACAACGTATGTTGTTATGCGGTCTGTCCAATAAAGATCTTCGTAGAATATGTAGGAGCCAACATGGGCATCCAGGTCCCGCTATTGGTTATTGACCAGAGAGGTGTCTCGGTCATGTCTACATAGTTCTCGAACCCGTAGGGTCCGCACGCTTAAACGTTCGTTGACGATATAGTTTTATATGAGTTATGTATGTTGGTGACCGAATGTTGTTAGGAGTCCCGGATAAGATCACGGACATGACGAGGAGCTCCGGAATGGTCCGGAGGTAAAGATTCATATATTGGATGATATGGTTTGGCCAAGGGGTCAGGCCCACGGGGCTATAAGTCGGTGCAAAAGGAGTTTTGCGAAGGCCAGGGGGCCAAACGCCGGAGACCCTAGCGCCGAGGCCCATGGCGTCTGGGTCAGATGCCAAGGATTGTGGCGTTTGGTCCTGGAGTCCGAGTGGGACTCTTGCCTTTTGGGAAAAACCGACTTTGAGGAGGCTTTTGCTCCAAGTTTCAACCCCAGGGCTCAACATATAAATAGAGGGGCATGGTTAGCACCAAAGAGACATCAAGAAACACCAAGCCGTGTGCCGGCAACCCCGTCCCCTCTAGTTTATCCTCCGTCATAGTTTTCGTAGTGCTTAGGCAAAGCCCTGCGGAGATTGTTCTTCACCAACACCGTCACCACGCCGTCGTGCTGCCGGAACTCATCTACTACTTCGCCCCTCTTGCTGGATCGAGAAGGCGAGGACATCACCGAGCTGAACGTGTGCAGAACTCGGAGGTGCCGTGCTTTTGGTACTTGGATCGGTCGGATCGTGAAGACGTACGACTACATCAACCGCGTTGATATAACGCTTCCGCGAACGGTCTACGAGGGTACGTAGACAACACTCTCCCCTCTCGTTGCTATGCATCACCATGATTCTGCGTGTGCGTAGGATTTTTTTTGAAATTACTACGTTTCCCAACATTCACCCCCCTCAAAGAGTGCTTCCACATGTGAAACAATCCAACGTCACATCATTACGATGGGAATCACCGCCATCGAGCGGAACTACTTTGAACATTGATGGTTCCTTTAGTGAAGGAGAGAACGAGGCAGGTGCATGGATGATCTTGCGTGACGAATCTGGGGCGCCCACATTCTCATCCTGCCAAGAGATGCGGTAGTGTTCATCGCCTTCAGATCAAAGCTTGCTGCATGCATGGAGGGCTTAGCTCCAGCTATCCAGTGGACATCGACGTGTGTTGACTGTTGTGGTGTAGTCCGACCACCTTTAGTTGACACACATGATACAAGTTGCCGGTGATGATAGATCTTTGCATTCTATGATGGTTCGTGAAATCAACACATATCTTGAGGAAGGAAGATAGTTTGTAATCAAGCACGTTAGAAGAGAGCAGAACTCTATGAGTCATTATTTAGCAAATTCCAGTAGAAAGGAGAAGCACACTGATGTGTGGCTTCAATTAGGGCCTGGTGAGGCACCTGAATTATGTAATGTAGACATGTTTGATGCTCATCTATAAACTCTTTCTCTCCCTGCCAAAAGAAGAAAATAAATATTACAAAATATATGATTAGAAGAGAAAAATTCTGATTTAAGACAAACCGCAAGTTAATCAACTTATTTTGTTTCCAACTTTTTAAAATATACAAATGGTTGACATTCAATATTGTATGGCTCTTGCGCATCCAATAACAACACACTTATTTGTCATATCTTGCCGTGTTTTCTCAACCGAATTGCTCGGCAGAAAATAGAAAGAATAAAATTCTTACGGGTCAAAGAAGAAGAGAAACTTGTATAACAACAATGTAGTTGATCAACATGAAAGATATCCACATGCACCCACAAACATGTACTAGCACAAAAAAGGGGAGAGCACACCAGAGTAGAAACACGCAGCACAAAACACCAAAGAGGCAGTTAGAAGCCAAACCCTAACCCAATTGTGGCAACGCCAGTGGGAAAGGCCACTGATAAAATGGACCAACCAATTCGCCCATTTCTCCCTGCTCTCTCCCTCTCTCTCTCGTCAGATGACGCCACAGGTTGGCATTGGCAGCAAGGTAGATGGATAGGGACAAGGACAGCCAGCCCCCCCTCCCCTCTCCTCTCCCCTCCTACTGTGTGGATCAAACGATATAGATAAATAAAACAAAGCAGATTGACAAGTAAATGAATTTCTGAGGAAAATTCCAAAGCCCAAATAAAAACTAAGACCGGAGCTTTCCATCATCACCTCGCGCAAGGCCAGCGAGCAGCCGCCGTGTTTTTTATTGCCCGGCTGACCAATCGCCGGAGGAGGAACTCACCACCAGGTCACCTATATCATTTCCGCCCTCCCTCCCCCTTGTACGCTTGCTTCTTTTTTATCTTGATTATTTAATTGTTTAGTTGTTCGCCCATTTGGGTGTGTGTGATGGATGGATAGATAGATTCCAAGTTTCCAACCCCAGCTAAGCTGCTACTTGTTTGCTCCGAGCAGAAGCCAAGAACAGCTCCCTCCCAAGGAAGGATCTTTTTCTTTTCCTGGATTTGGTCCGTTCCTGTCCGGGAAATCTCGGGTTGGCGGCGGCTGGATCTCCGGGAGGAGGATTTGATGCCGGTTCTTGCTCCATTTTGAGCCCGAATCATCCTGCCTCGGGACCGGCGACAGGCGAGCGGCCTTTCGAGCTCCCGGGAGCCGCGGAGGGTGAGCGAGGCGGCCTCGGAGCGCTCGGGAGGGCGGCGATGCCGCTGGTTTGATTCTGGTTCACGCTGCTGCCGGGGATGGAATCCAGCGGGGAGGAGCTCCTGAAGAAGATCCGGCAGCTGGAGGTGGGCCAGGCGCAGCTCAAGCAGGAGATGTCCAAGTTCGCGCTGCCGCCGACCGGCGGCGGAGGGGAGCGCCGGCGCTCGCAGTCCGTCTCCCCCAGCCGCGGTGCGCCGCCTCATCCTGCGCCGGCGCCGGCGCCCTCGAGGCGGCTCTCCGGGGGGCTTGATGCAGGCCCGCGGGCGTGGGGCCGTGGCTCCGCGTCCTTCTCGCACTCGTCGCCGCTGCAGCGGGAAGGCCGTGCCGCGGCGGAGGGCGGCGCCACGGGCGCTGGGCTGGCGGAGCGGCAGTACCGCAGGGTGCTCCAGTCGCTGGGGCAGTCCGTCCACATTCTTGACCTCGATGGAAGGATCATATACTGGTGAGCTTTCTACTTCTTGAATGTTTGTTGACCTGTTTTGTGCGAGCTTGTAAATGCTCGAGGAGCTGCTGCGGTGATAGTGATGGCATCGGTTCAACTGTTCTTGTTATACTGCAATGAAGTGACCATGCATCCAATGGGAGTTGTGCTTTTAGTGGCATTTTAACCATTTATGCATGAGATGGTGGAACTTACTACTTGGTGAAATCTGGTATTTTGTACTACAAGTTACGTCCATGCTATGTCACAGTTTATATTGATTTGAAGTGAAGCTTTCTGCCTGGTTGAACAAATTGGTAACTGTAAAACAACACAATAAGGTTTCATGGCACTTCTGCCATTGTTGTTCCAAGTTGCCCAAGAGCCAAGAGTTGAGTGATGCACATGGGTCAAAGTTTTGGGTCTTCATTTTTGTGCGAGTCGCATTGCTTATCGATTCAGCAACACAGTTTGATAGTCGTGTACCTACTTCCCACCTGTGCTAAACAAACATCACATATTTTTTTTTAGTCTGCAGTTCTGCATGGATTTTCGCTTCTCTTTTGTTCTTGTTAATGCTTTCTTATCACCAAAGCCTTTCATTTGCCATGATGTAGGAATCGGTCTGCAGAGAATCTCTATGGTTATCCTGCATCAGAAGTACTTGGTCAGGATGCACTCATGCTGCTGGTTGATTCCCGTGACCTCAGTGTGGTAAATGATATGTTTCGACGTATTTCTTTGGGTGAGAGTTGGACTGGGAAGTTTCCAGTTAAGAACAAGGCAGGGGATAGGTTTTTAGCTGTTGGCACCAACACTCCATTTTATGATGAGGATGGCAGTTTGGTGGGCATTATTTGTGTTTCAAGTGATTCACGCGCATTGGAGGAGATACTCAGTGGACCTTCAACCTCTGCAAGGTCCCATTCAGAATCATCTAGCCCCTCCTGTTGTGATGGCAGTTGCAGCAACAGTAATCGAAAAGCCAGTTTGTTGAACAGAAATCCGTTTGATCCCCAGCAGTCTACTATAGCCTCCAAGATAACAAATTTGGTGAGTTCTGTTACTACTTTATTATTGTAAAAAGTAGAAATATGCATGCCATTGAATAGCAATGAAACATTGTTTCTCTATAGCATGTTTTCTTAATTATTTGCTACCGTATTCCTTTCTGATATTTAGAATAACACAGGCTAACAAGGTCACAAATAAAGTTCGTTCGAGGGTCAAGATGGATGAGAATGGCATGGTACGGGAAGGTGGCAGTGGTGAGAGTCAGTGTTCTGATCGTGATAACAAGGAAGGTCCATCTAGTGGACCAAGTACACCAAGAGGAGATGCACCACATGGTGCCTTCGGCACGGAAGAGAATTCCCCTGGGAAATCAACCAAAACAAACGGTGATGAATCAGAAGCGAAAATAGGTCTCCACAAGATCTTGAGTTCAAAAGCAGAGGCATTGTTGAACAAGAAAGGGATAACATGGCCTTGGAAAGGGCGGGAGAATGATGTGCCTGACTGCAGAAATCAGGTGACCTGGCCATCGTTGCATAGTGAGCAAGAGAATGGCCAGAATCATCCGAAAGTCTCTGACACTCAATTGGCTGAATACAACCAACCTAACAAAAACGAGGCATCAGGTTCCTGGTCTTCTTTCAACAATAACAGCTCAAGTAGTGCAAGCAGCACTGGAAGTACCAATAGTAGTGCTCTATACAAAATCGACCATGAAGCAGACTGTCTGGATTATGAAATCCTGTGGGAAGATCTTGTAATTGGAGAACAAGTAGGCCAAGGTAGTTGCTTCTCCTTTTGTGAATTCTTATGTGTATATATATTTTATCACATTGAAGTTTCTATGTTGTTTCATAGTTTCTACCAGCGGCTTTAGAATTGACTATTTGGTTATTGTAACTGGCTTTGTCTGCATGACATTACTTTAGAATAGCTCCTTTCCTGTCCTATTTGTTTTATAAAATCTATGCTTGTTGCATAATCTCCATTGTCAAATCAGCTAGATAATATTACAACTAGATATGTACTCCCTCCGTTCCGATTTACTCGTCGTGGTTTTAGTTCAAATTTGAACTAAAACCACGACAAGTAAATCGGAACGGAGGGAGTAGTTGGAATAAATAATAATCCATTTTGCCCCCAGTTTGGCCAAGTTTTGGTTCTAATTTTATTACAAGTGGGGCCAGTTAGCTCACTAGCTCTAACTCCTAATGAGACATAGAACCTCTGGGCTTTCACATGGGTAGCTTAAGTCTGCTTTCAAATCTGTGATTAAAATTTCTACTTTCAACTTCTTAATATGCTATTTTGGTTTGATATGAATTTGCGCTACTGAAAGTGTGTGCTTATCCCTAGGACCTGAACATTTAGAGAGCTTGGACCATCAAGAACTTTCCTGGCATTTATGCTCAAACACTTCTCCGGATCCAAATACTCTTGTGTGAATTTAGTTGCTATATTGGGTTTGTTATTTTTTAGAGGAGTACAAGCATGCCAAAAATGTTGAACGGACAATGGAGTATACTGCTTTCTACTATATCGAGTGTTTTCTAATTGTGTCCCTTTCAATTTTGATCTGCACAGGCTCCTGTGGGACAGTATACCATGCTTTGTGGTATGGCTCGGTATGTTCAGTTGTTTCTTTGTTGCACGAGTGACTTGTCTCTGTTCACTTTTGGTTGTTAGTTTCATCTTTTTGTTTGGCATTTTGCTGCAGGATGTGGGTGTGAAAGTTTTCTCCAGGCAGGAATATTCGGAGGAAGTAATACAGGCCTTTCGACAAGAGGTAATTTTCCATTTTTAGCACAACTTCTGTTAGTTGATTCATGAATGAAATATACAAGAGAAGACAATGTCTCTCTAATCAGCAGGGTGGCTTTCAGTATTTTCTTAGCCGATTAGCTAGCATCAAACCTGTGATGTTCTATTGATACTTTGGGCCTGTCAAAATAATGAAAATTTGTGTTCTCAGGATGCCCATAAAAACCTATCATTGCCATGGTTGCCAAACATTTTGGTGTGAACAAATATGAAAATAACATGGCCACAGATCATCACTTTTTTTAAAGGTTAAATCTGGAATATAGAAATAAAGTATTCACTGACTTCAGGTCTCGTGATATCATTTTAAACTTAGTTCTTCTATAATAAATTGTCATCATTCGTATGTGAAGGTATCCCTTATGAAGAAATTACGCCATCCTAATATACTGCTCTTCATGGGTGCGGTTACATCTCCACACCGCCTTTGTATTGTTACCGAGTTCCTCCCACGGTATGTTCCCTACTTTGTACTTGCGTTCTACTACCCTATATTTTTGAAAGTATCTATTCTCTGGCTGTTGCTCTCTTCTTCAAATGTATAAGACAATGACCGGAGCTACTTGTACAAAACCTGCCATGGCTTAATTTTTACAAAAACATTTTCATGAAGGCATGGTAAATCTCATCTCTATCAAAATTAAGTACAGAAGATGGCACAAGCAAGTGCCATGTCACTCCATTTTCTTTCTACTATTTGATTCAAATCTTATGAACAAAATTGAAAAGAATACCTAAGGAAACACTCAGTATTTATAAAATATAGTTCATACTATACACTTAGTAAATACTTAAGAGCACACCTCCTTTCTCTAGATTTCTCTTACATGCATATAAAGACCCAACATGTTCCATATTTTATAGGACCATTAATAATCAATTTTAATTCTAATAAAAAAGAAAGTTGAATGTCTGCAACTGTGCAACAATGTGTGGATTTGATCCTAGCTAACAGAAGTTATTTGCTGGTTTTAACTAGATTAGACATGTCTCCTTTTCTCTTATGGTGTATCCATACTTGTTGATAGAGGTGGACAAAAATTTATGGGGCCATACCGTTTATTAGGCTGTTTAGTTGTATATTTTTATCCTGTTAGCACATCAAGATAATTTTTGATTTTATGCTTCAATACTCACTGGCACGTCAAGATTGGTTTTGTTCAATTTTTATAACAGAATATGACTACTACCCTGACTTCATATTTTTACCTACAGAAAAAATAGGTTGGGTCTCATTTTCATCGTTCATTATTTCTCAAATGCAGTGGAAGTTTATTTCGCTTACTTCAAAGAAGCACTACCAAGTTGGATTGGAGACGACGTGTTCACATGGCTTTAGATGTTGTAAGTGCATTTCTTTCTAATGGCCGAATGTGGATTTTACCACAGATCACATATTACTTTTTAGTCCAAAAGGAAATGCAGTTAATGACAGGAAAAACAGAGAATTATTCTTGGATTGTGGTATGCAGAGACATTGATTGCATACAAAACGTAAAATTTGAGACACCTGATTTTGTATTTGTTGCAAATGGGCACGTGTAGAAGTTGAATTCCAGATAAAAAGGCCACATCGGGTAGTTCCAGTGCAAGAAATAAATATATTTGAAAAGTGAGGTATCGTATGTTCATATATTCATTTATTTCCCCCCCCTGGGTGGCTGGATTCTACCTGAAGTTTCGAATTATTGTGATGCTAATACGCACATAGCTATTCTGTGAATAGTTTTGGTTAGTTTGCGTTTCATTTCAAGCAAGGAACTTCCGAATCTCCTGGATGATAAGATTCTTAACGTCTTCTTATTAACATTTCTACAGGCAAGGGGCATGAATTATCTTCATCACTATAGCCCACCTATCATTCATCGAGATTTAAAGTCGTCAAATCTGCTGGTTGATAAGAACTGGACTGTTAAGGTAACATTACAATCATTTGCTCTTCAAACTTTTTAATATGTTCCTACTTGCATCTCATTTCATCTCGCTCAATCAGGTTGCAGATTTTGGTCTTTCACGTCTCAAGCGTGAAACTTATCTCACAACAAAAACAGGAAAAGGAACGGTAAGTACAAGCAAAATTCATTTGATTGATTGACATACACAGCATGGATCTTTTGTTTTCCTAACTTTTTTGATGCCGCTTTCTTGTGTAGCCACAATGGATGGCTCCAGAGGTATTGCGCAATGAACCTTCAGATGAGAAGTAAGTACATGACAGTTGTAATCAACAGAAGTTCCTGTGGTCACATCTGCAAAAGTATATAATTGCTAATGACTTGAGTGACTACATATATAGGTCTGATGTGTATAGCTATGGGGTGATCCTATGGGAACTTGTCACTCAGAAGATACCGTGGGAAAATCTCAATTCAATGCAGGTATATTGCTTCTATGTAGTTTTATCTGTCATTAAATCATCTGGTTCTGGCCATACATTTGGTTCAGATTGTGATGATTTGGACTTCAAGTAATATTTGTCTCAGCAGCTCCTCAAAAAGTTAAATTCCAAGAGTAATATATTCCTTTTGGATTGGTTACAGCGCTTCCTAGAATTTGGCACAACAACATGAGCTGGTTGACATATGAATATTCAGTTGATGGACTTCTAAATTTGTCCGATTAATTGCGATCGCTAGTATTATTGGTCACCTAGGAATGTAACTACTGAGTTACGAGAAGCAGCATATTCTACTGGTTTTCATATTCTGGAGAAGTCCCATGAATAGTGTGAAATTTTCTTATGGTAGCAGCATCTGTGCTCAGTATTGCAGATTAAAACTGTATTGCATTAAAAGAAAATCTAGATCACTTGCAGTTTTCTCAGAATTTGACAAGTTTTGTAGAATGTACATTAATTGTTGAAACTCTTGCCTATTTGTACATTAATTGTTGAAACTCTTTCCTATGTAGGTCATTGGTGCAGTAGGTTTCATGAACCAAAGGTTGGAGATTCCCAGTGAAACAGATCCTTACTGGACATCACTTATACTGAGTTGTTGGGAAACGTATGTACTATCTCTGCCATCCCCCTTTTTTTTTCTCACTCTTCTTAAAGACTTGCCTTTTCAGACTTCATAAATTTTGAACCGTGCTGGTTTTCGTACATGTCGTGTGTTCTTACTACCATTGTCCTTGGTGCAAGCAGCGACCCACAAAGCCGTCCGTCGTTCCAAGAACTTCTGGAGAAGCTCAGGGAACTGCAAAGGAAGTATGCTGTCCAGAATCAGGCGCAGCGAAATGCATCTGCCGCTGCGAAGAACAGCATCATCGAGGAATGAAGATTCCAACAACCTGCCAAGGCGGTGAGTTTGCGAGTGAGGAGGGAACATCGTCGGTGATGGAGTGGCGTTTTAACCCAAGAAAAGATTCGTGCCTCCCGTGTGATTGTTTCACGGAACAGCCGATGCTGAAGATTGTGCAGATGGGGTATCCTCCGACCGCAACTTCTGGCAGCAAAGATTAGAGTAGTGAGTGAGCCGAGGCTGGCGCTTTTGGGGTTCTACATTCCGTGGCGATGCATGACTAACACGTGATCGGATTGATCGGGCTTGCATTTGTAACACGGAGAGGACGGTGTTGCTGTGTAGATTGTTCTGATGACAAATTGTACACGAGTCGCCAATCATCAAGAACCTTGTAAGATTCATACTTGTGTTTTTTTTTTGCTCCCTTGCCTTCTTCTGCTTTTCAATTTCCTTTTGGCGGGAATTCTGAATCCCAGCACAAATCAACCGAAGCTGGTACTGTGCTTCTTCTACTTTTATTTCTTTTATTAGTATAAGGAAAAACATAACTTGGCTATTTTGTCTGCTCTACAATTTATTCGAGCAGTGCCTCTGCTCTTCCAATTTAGTACTCACTCCGTCCCATAATATAAGATCCCCATAATATAAGATCGTTTCCAAGCTAAAACACAGAGGGAATATTTGGGTAGCATGAATCCCAGCAGTAGTATGGGCCAACTTCCCTCGAGCTCTCTGTTTCTCCAGCTGCTGCGCGTCATTCCCTCAGCTTGCCCTTTTCATCTTTCGCCACCGCCGGTCTGCAACGTTGGAGCTGTCAAGTAGAGCTTGGTGCGGGCAAGGCGGTCATCGTGCGGTTGCCCTGTCTTCGTTCTAGGGTCGATAAATTCGACGGTGCGACGTCCTTCGAGCCAAAATGAAAGGGTAGGGTCCCTCTTCGGCGAGGAATAGGTGTGTGTGCGTTGTACTTGGTCCCCATAACCCCGTTGCAGGCGATGGCGAGATCGTTTTCAAAGGCAGCTGATGTTTCCCTGCTGCTGCTCATGTCTCCGCGGTGTTCGAGCAAGCAAGCCGTCTTTCTTCGACAAGCCGAGCTTCTCTGTTTTCTTTCAGCTTGTGTGCTGGGCACCCTTGTATCTTTTAGCCGTTGGCTTTTCTTTCTGTTTTTGCAAGGTGTTGGTGTTGACTGTAATCCTGGTCAGTTGATGACTTAGCCATTGTCTCAAGCCTTATTGTCTACAAAAAGTTCCATTTTTATTTTTTATTTTTGCGAATAGTCTACAGAAGAGTAATTGACAAAAAACTACCATATTTCACGTATCCGTCTTACAGAACTATCACATTTTGAAAACTGACCAAAAACTCCAGTTTAACGCTAATTTCGTGACAAAAAACTACCAGATCGACTTGATGACCAATTGAAGCATTTTAAACGCATTTCTGACAGACCCGGCCCACCGGTCAAGACGGCGGCCGCGCTAACGGCTAACGGCGCTCGCCTGAGCCCGTTAGCCGCGCGGGTCGGTCGGGCCCGGTCGGACCAGGACTAACCTGGCCGACCGGCTAGCTCGTCGTCCTCCCCACCCCACTCTCCCCTGAGCTCGCTGTCCTAGCCCTAGCCGTCTTCGTTCATGGCGGCGGCGGATCCAAACTCTGGTGCCGAATCGCTTGGAGGAGCGCCCCCCGACGTGCTGGGCGGCGGGGATGCCGTCTTCGTTGAGGTTGATAAATGGCTAGGCAGCAATAGCTTTGCGGTCGAAAACCAATCCCAGCCTCAATCTCAGCCGTCCCAGACGATTGTGAGTCGGCGTGTAGCAGCAGCGTCGAAGAGAAGACGCGCAACTCAAGGCCGGCGCAAGCTTCCTTGTCTTGTTGGCCGCGCGAGGTATGGCAACAAATCTGTAATTCTTTTTATGAAATGGTTTGTTTTGTTAGGAATCACGATCTATAGGCTAGTTGCATAGTTAGATTTACATTAGAACCATGTTTGAGCACAACGGGAATTGAAATCTGTTGGGAACATTAACAATTTGTTTTGCTGTGACTGAATCAAAAATGTCAGAAAATAGAAAATTTAAACTGTCAGACACTAAATATTGTGCAGACCATTTAATTATAAATTTTCCAATTTGTGGTGCAGTATTGATGACCCAAAGTAGGAAATTTGGTTCCATTTCTTAGCCAGAGAATCTGTGGTTAGAGGAATTTACCAGTCGAGCTAGCCGATCGGCCAGATTAGTCCTGGTCCGATCGGGCCCGACCGACCCGTGTGGCTAAGGGGCGTCAGGCGAGCGCCGTTAGCCGTTAGCGCGGCCGCCGTCCTGACCGGTGAGCCGGGTCTGTCAAAAATGCGTTTAAAATGCTTCAGTCGGTCATCAAGTCGATCTGATAGTTTTTTTCATGAAATTAGCGCTAAACTGGAGTTTTTGGTCAGTTTTCAAAATTTGATAGTTTTATAGGACAGATATGTGAAATGTGGTAGTTTTTTTGTCAATTACTCTCCACAGAAAGTTCTTGTTGAAGAACATTCACTCAACAGAAGAGATGGTTCCGTTGTTGTTGTTGTCGTCGTCTACTTGGTATATATGATGAATGACAACTTTTTTGTTTTGTTTTTCTGGTTTCTTCCCATCCTGGCCTTATTGCTCTCGGCATAGTCCATTGCAAAATGAACGTGCAGTGACTCTTCATTCCGGATGATCTTATAATATACTTCCTTCGTTTCTAAATATAAGCCTTTTTTAAAAGATTTCAATATGAACCATATACGAAGCGAAATGGGTGAATCTCACTCTAATATCCATGTATATATATATATCCATATTTAATCCATATTAAAGACTTTCATTTAGAAACGGAGGGAGTATATATCCCTGATAGCGATGTGTCCGTCACGTTTACAAGAGGCGTGAGTAGGGGATCCGCCGGTTAGCAATACATACTTATATGCTACTCCCTCCGTTCCAAATTACTCGTCGTTGAACTAAAACCACGACGAGTAATTTAGAACGGAGGGAGTAAGTTGCTAGCCTTCCCTTAGTTACAAAGAAGGGATGACAGGATTACTTAGACTTAATTAATTAATTCATAACAGAATCCATACGCCATGCAGTAGCGTGTGATGCCGTCAACGGTGCAACCTGAGGACGCAATGCTCACTGGAGGAGACGGCTGCAGAGGTGCGACACATCGGACGGTTGGATGGGATTGAGCAGGAAATCCTCGGCTCCTTCCTCCAGGCACCTGACGGAGTAGAAACGTACGTTGTACTTTCTATGATGACTCAACCTTATACTAACTTTGTACTAAAGTTAGTACAAAGTTGACTCATCTATTTTAAAACATAGGGAGTACGTGTCAACGATAAGAACATGAACTTGATGCATGCTAGAGCTATCAGTCTGTCACCACTGATGAATAAGGGCCAAGGTACTAACCTGTTGATCCTTGTAGGCACGTTCACCGAGGACATGATCACCATGGGGATCTCCCTCAGCTTGGATGACCCCTGCATGCATCCATCCATCACATTTTCTCTATTTTCATCCCAAAGCTATGCAAGAACTACTTTAATAAAGATTTTTCGTACATACATGACTTACTATGAAACTTGACAAGGGAAAAAAATTCTGTATTACCTTGACCTTCTTGAGGACCTCGTAGCCGGTCATCTCCAGCATTGAGTAGTCAGTGAATATCATGCTCACATTGGCCTCCTGCGTCACGAGAACACGCATGCCATTTGGTATAACACATGCGAAGCACAAAAACATCTGAAATAAAGAAGGACAGATCAAAGGTTGAGCAAGATCTTTTCACAAAAAAAAGGTTGAGTAAGATCACATGCATACGGAGGCAAGAAGCTCCAGCGCCCTCTTCCCGCTGTCCATGGCGGTCACTGCACGCATGCACGGACACCACTCGTCACAAAACCATGTACGACAAAAACAACAACAAGAGATTGAAACATGATGTGATCTTGTGGATTGATTATGGACGCACGTACCGCGGAAGTTGAAGCTCCGGAGGATGCCGGAGATGACGACACGGTCCATCGAGCTGTCGCCTACAACGAGAAGGTGCGGCGGCGCTCCCCTCGTTTTTGTAATATAAGTCAAACGAAGACGCAAAAATACAGGTCTAAGCATTTCAACAAAGCCCTCAAATTCTTCATTATCTTTATTCTTTGAAGCTTTAGGAGGAAAAGACATGGGTTTCTAAACCCATGGTTCTCTTTCTTTATCATGTTTCGTGTCAATGAAATATCTCTTATTATATTTTTTACTCTTAGGTTGTGGGTTATCAAGATCAACATCAAATTCTTTTTCCACCTCATTATCATTATTAGGTTGAGCATGTACATGAACATCATCATTATCATTGTTGCTAGGTTCATGTTCATCACCGCATTGTGTTTCAGCATCAGAAATAAAAGTATCATTTAGATTCTCAGGTGTGTCTACAGTAGGTTCACTAGAAGCATGCAAAGTCCTATTATCTTTTGTTTTTTTAGAAGGACTAGGTGCATCAGTATTAATTCTTTGACAGTCTTGTTCAATTCTCTTAGGGTGACCTTCAGGATACAATGGTTCCTGGATCATTTTACCACCTCTAGTCATAACTCTAACAGCATGATCATTCATCTCATTAAGCAAATCTTTTTGTGTTTTGAGGACTTCTTCTAAGTTTTTATCATGGAAGCATGTTTGCTCACACCCTTGACATCATTAACAGTTCTAAACATATAGTCACTCAAGCGTTCAATCATATAAGCATTTCGTTTCAATTGTCTACTAACATATGCATTGAAGTTTTCTTGTTTAATAATAAAGTTATCAAATTCATCCAAGCATTGACTAGCAGATTTAGTATAAGGAATATCACCTTCATCAAACATATAGAGAGAATTTACCTCCACTACCTGTGTCAGAGTATTAAGATCATGTATTTCTTCAATCAGTGTTAAATTCTTAACATCTTCAGCGTTAATACCTTTTTTCCCATAGATTTCTTTGCTTCTTGCATATCTTCAGGACTGAGAAATAGAATACCCCTCTTCTTCGGAGTTGGCTTGTGTGGTGGTTCAGGAAGAGTCCAATCATTATCATTACCCGATATATTATTCAGTAATTCTTTAGCTTGTTCAACAGTTTGTTCTCTGAAAACACAACCAGCACAACTATCTAGGTGGCCCCTAAAAGTATTGGTTAATCCATTATAA